TTTTGAATAAGAAAGATCTGCTGGCAGAAAAAATCCGACGCATCCCCTTAACAGTCTGCTTTCCTGAATACAAAGGCCAAAACACTTATGAGGAGGCAGCAGTCTACATCCAACGCCAGTTTGAGGACTTGAATCGCAACAAGGAGACCAAGGAGATCTACTCACACTTCACCTGCGCTACTGATACCAGTAACATACAATTTGTCTTTGACGCAGTGACAGATGTCATCATTCAGAACAATCTCAAATATATTGGCCTCTGCTAAAAATCCTTGGGCTTAATCTGTTTTCCTGAAGTGATAAAAAAGGGGTAACCACTTCCACTTCCAGTGGAAAAAAAAAGGGGCAATGCTTAGTAGCCCAAGGAGAGAAAAGGGGAAATCTGATGTATGTACACAGTTCCTCTTATATCCCCTCAACCCGCTACATCATTTTTCACAAATATATATTCTGGAGAGTGAAAGCTTTCTCTCCAAAAACACCCACACACCCCAACCCACATCCCAGTGAGAAAAAACCCCAACAACTCAAAAATCCCAAACAAAAACAATAAAAGAGGTTGAGGCCTAACTCTGTGGAGATATTTTCACCACAGTCACTGCACTTTTATTCCATTTGTTTCATTCCATTTCCTACAGTGGGAGTGTTATCATATTGTATGTATGAAATAATTCTTCACCCAGTTGTCCTAAAATTTTACTGACATGAAGATATAAAGCCTGGTGAGTGACAGATGAACTCGTTTGCAGGGTGTGGAGCAGAATGGTTGTGTTGGGGAGAAAAGCTAGTTCAAATGAGAAGCAACAGAACAGGAGAGTTCAAGCAAAATACTACTTAAATTTGTAGAGAATGGGCATGCACCCACAATATGGGTACACACAGCCAAACAGTATATACACATACATCAGGTATGCACATGCACATGACTCACAGCATATACTATGTAGACACTTCTGCTTTACTTTACTGTTTATCATGGATACCTTGCCTGTTAAAGGAATTGTTGGTGCGCAGCTATTCTGTGATTTCCAAACTGACTAGCAGCTCTTTCTGCTCTTTAAGGCTTCAAATATGCAGCAAAACTACATGAAATGAATCTATGAATAGGCCAAATTAAGGTCAGTGTTTCTTCTACTGGTAAGGAGTTTTATACATCGAAACAGTCTTCTTTTACATCTTTTTTGCCAAATCTTGTGGTGTTTCACAAAAAACAAACTATATTTAAGAAGTAGGTTAGTGTTCCTTTTTAATACAGATTAAAAAAAATAAATCACAAGGCAATTTTTTTAAATTATTGTTGTAGTGTCTGGATTGCTGAATGTGAAAGTTGCCAACGGACAATTCTGTTCCACTGCTTCAAATACATTCTGGGAATTGTAATATTGTAACAGATTTCCCAAGAAGCAGGAGCCATGGAGATTGTGTAGTATATAGCCTCCAAAGTCTTTTTTTTTTGTTGTTTTTTAAAATTATTTTAAAAATGTGATGTATTATTAGAAGGTGAAAGATGAGCGATATGAACAATAACTAAATGTCTTGATAATTTAAATTATTTACAGTTTAGTGAAGTTAAGGAAACTGAAGAGATGCATTCCTCAGCTCCAGGTTTCATCTCATAAAGAAACACTACTGGATGGAGTAACGTTCTGGCAAAAGTTTGAATGCATAAGAAGCTCTGTGGGACTATACTGGAAAATCTCAAATGGATCATATAGACCTAAGTCTTTGGTCAGTTGATTCTTTGCCCTGCCATAGAAAAGACTTCTTAACAACTTCAGTGTAAAGTTGGTGTGTAAATATATGTTTGATAATTGTAAAGCACATATGTACACAGAGACACAGACACACATGCACACTGGAAAATAACCTTCTACTTCTGTTCCCCCTACGTACTATGATTAGTGCAAGAAATCTCAGCCAAGGGCTCTAAGAAATTTAAAACAAAATGGTTAATAACATCAACATTTAAATTGTCCACTTAAAAAAATAAATAATTCAAATGATACTGAATGTGTCTATAGTGTGTTCATTAATTAGTCTTACGACAGTTACTTAATTGGACAATGTTTGTGATGTTTTCTTTCCTTTATGACGGACTGTTGAGTTTTGTTTATTCGTTCCAGATCTTCTTCCTCAGTTTATTCACTGACATTCAGCAATTTCAGTCTTAAGCAATTACATTTGAGCAACTCAGTAAGATTTAAGGGATATGTTTAATACCTTTACAAATTCTGAATGTATTATTGTTATATTTTTGGGGACATGGTTAGTAGCAATTTTAGGAAAGAAGTTATAGATCAAGATCTATAGGAAATATCAGGAAGGAAACTTCCATAGTATCTGCAAGATACATAAGAAGCCTACCTGCATACTGCCTTACACAAGCAGGTACTTTGTGCAGATGTCTATGCTTAGATATACATGTCTAGGTATAAGCACATATACAAATTTTTGAATAGTGCCTGAAGTTGGTGTCCTAAACCTGTATTTAAAGATTGAAGAAAACTTGAAAAATATGTTCACATTTTTGTACTACTGAGCTCTCAGCAGGTCTCCAAAATCAATACACAATTCTGTCTGGTTCATGCTTGTGATAACTTAGGCTTTAAGAAAAATCTAAGTATTTTTAAAAAGTGACCATATAAGACGATCCATCAGCATAAGTCTTATTGATGATTTTTCATTGAAGCTTTATTGAAAATTCCATCCGTTCAGACTATGACAATGTTATTCTAGAACATCCTCTAATTGAAATCATTGAAAGTCTGGTTGTACATTAAGAAAAGGTGCAACTCTTGTACAAACAGCATAAATTCATATAAATCACTTGTTAGAGGATGCTAGATAAATAATATCCCTGGAGTTTAAACAGAATTTGACTTGGAATCCTTCACCCCATTAATAATTTCTAAGACCAGCTGAAAATATTTGATAGTACTTGGACAGTTTCATTCCTTTTTTTGCTTCTTGGCCTTTCTACAAAATGCATCCAAAAAGTCCTGATCTTTCTTACCCTATATTTAAGAATCCTTTTTCTGACCTGTTTGAGGATATCTAAATTCAAGCTAGGATTTTTCTAAGTGACCTGGAGACTTAAGCTAATGATAAGCTGGGACTACCGAAAGAACTACAATACTCTTGAAGGCAGTGGTTCAAGCAATAATAATTTTCAACCTTGCTAGAGAAAATAACCATAACCAAAAATATTCTCTGGGGCTCGAGTCATGCGTTAAGACTTTCAAAACTCTTCAGTCCAGACATAATCGATAATGGGGAAAAATCTAATTTTGAACAAGGTATTTTATCCATGTATTGATGACACAAGGCCCCTTTAAGCATTCCCTGTCAACTGTTACACCTGAAGAACTGAGGCAAGAGAGCCAATGAGGCTGCACCTTGAAGGTATAAAAGGTTTGTCATGCCACACAGGGAGTATTTAGGTCTTACTTGTAATGAGAGATGCTATTGCCTGCTTGTGATATTTGCAGTCAGGCTGCTTGACTTGGTGAGTTTATTAAAAGCTATACATGGTAACTGCTAGTGCAGTCCACAGAGCTAGTACAGGATCCTTTAAACTTCATGCTATCATTTACTTGAGAAATTTCAGTGTTTCTAGTTTAAATTGCTTTCTGTATCATAATATCCTATTACTAGCCAGCTGAATTGTGAAAAATGTATAAAATGAGTCAGGGCTTCCTTTTCCAGTGGAGGGACTATTAGATGTTATGCCTCCTTCACCTTTAGCATTCATTGTACTGTGGCCATTTCAGACTAGTGAAAGAAGTGACAAGAAAACACAGGTATTCATTACAGCATAACTTCAGGGTAAGAAAGATGGGTAGGAAAACTAAAACCAAAAGTGTAGTCAGTTGTGAGGAGGGTAAGAGACATTTTATATAAAAAAAAAATCTTTATTCAACTAAGAAGATCCTTCCAATATAAGTATTACAGGCAACTTACGATAGAAGTGGAGAACCTAGGAAAGTTTAACAAAGGCCCAAGGATATTTCTAAAGAAAAGGAGTCAGTTACATTTCTCATTGAATGAAGGCTATCTTGGGAAGGAGAAAAGAAATTGAAGCACTGCTGTGTGTTCCTACTTGGCTTAAGAAAACCATAGGCATAGGGAGGAATAAAGCAGTAAATAATTATGTTTAAATAATCAGTTCATATAACTCTCTAATAATTTAATTCCTATGATGTTTTTGATCTTAGTATTCTGAGTAACTCATGGTTACGCTGTTTTCTATCTGAAGAATTCAAGATGTTAAAATAAATTCTGGTTTACACAAAAGTAAAGTAATTATATTTTCTGATTGTATAAGAAAACTGAGGCACAGGGAAGTTAAAACTAAAAAGTCTGGGCCCAAAGACAGGTGCTGAAATGAAATCCCTTGACTCTTAGTCATTCACCTGTATAAATCATGCAATTAAATTTGCATCTATTTTCTCAGTTCTCAGGTTTAGCTGTGATGCAGCACACTGCCACCTGAAAGAACTGCATTCATACAGCTGGGATTTCACTTCACCTGGGCAGCAATGACATTCACAGAAGAGATGTTCCATCTGCTGCAATAAGAATGCCATCTGTCCTTTTATCCTTTGCACTCCATACAGCAAAACAAGTTTCAAAGGGAAAAATGTATCCTTAAACAGTCCTTATCCACAGATCCAATTGGTTATGATTTTCCAAGGAAAGAATACCGGAGATATTGAGGACCCATAAAGTAGGAGAAATATTACCTCTTGGACTCTTCCCAAATAGAGGTTCTGACAAGCTTAAAAATCCATTGCCCCATCCAATCCACCCCAATCTTTGTCTAAAAGGATTAAGTACCCATGAAAGACAGGATAGGGAATGGGTAAGAATTATTAAACTTTTCTAGTATTAAACATATCCTAGGGATTTTTCCCTAGAACTATTTTTGCAGTTGTTATTGCCCAGGTCATTTATCATTGCATAACACCCTTTCACTAACATTGTTAAGTATTGTGTATTGACTAACTGTTTTCACAAAGAGTGAAAATTTTGCTATGAATTTTTCCAATGTTCTTAATTTTCTCCTGCTGCTGGTTCTTCTCCCTTTCTATCCTCTATGGAATACATATATCTATCTTATTTTTGTCTTCTGCCCATTAATTCTTGTCACTAAGTTATTGTTCCTTCTGGAAATGTTGCTTCTCAGTGTTCTCCCAGTCTTTGTGGATTTTCCCACCTTCTGGCTTTTAATGATCCCACTGTTTCTGGAGGATACTGGTGTACATCCTTAAATTTAGGAATCAAAAATAGTCTGCAAGTGGATTTGCTTAAAATAACCACATCTTCCTAAATTACTCTTGTTTGGAGAAAGACCAGGTGGCCTGGTATATAGGCTAACTGGAGTCACTGACCACTTCCTAGTTAACAAAAACAGCTACGCTTGATGCCAAGTGCTCGTACAGCTTATGTTTCTTTTTGTCTAGTGTGGAACATATTGCTTTATTGGCCCTGTAAATTACCTCAGCTCTAGAAAACATCACAAATCTAGCTGTGGAATGGTATATTAGTTGCTGACTTCCTCCATCTGATACAAGGTACATCCTATCTCATTATCTGGATGTGAGGTGTAGAAGTAAATGCAGAGAGGAGGACAGGCAGTTTCCAAGGCTGAATTACCAGGCAGAGACTATTTCTGTATCTGTAACTTGTCAAATGAATTACGTCAGGCCTTGTGGCTCTTAATACCTATTGGAAAATATTTGCTGTTCTCCCTGATAATACCCCAAATTGTCTCACAGCAAAGAAAACAGTTTTAGCACCTTTCTGTTTTTCTTGTAAGTAGCCATCTGTACGCAAATCCATTCTACAGTAACACAATTCCACTCAAGGAATTCCAGCCCTTAAATACAGGCACTTATCTTTTTATATATATATATGTTATACTTTAAACAAAAAGAACACATGGCTCAGCAAAAAAACTTTTTCCAAGGGTAATTACTCAGAGGTGCTTTCACAAACAACATGCTCAGCTTCTGCACCACTGATCTTATAGACTGTTCATACCTGACAGGCTGAGGATTGCAGGTTTTTTCTATCTCTGTCCCCCCCTTTCCCCTCCCCAGCTGTCAAAGGACATTGTATGAAAATCTGGTCTGTAGAAAGCTATGATAAAGACTAACTTAAATGTAGTCAAGGACTTCTATCCTGATGAATTCTTGGAGGCTTTTAACAGCACAAACATTGACAGAGAAAATGGTCAAAATTTGGCATCATTTCACAGCTGAAGAAATTAAGCTTTGGAAGAGAATTTCACCTAGAAAGGTATGACTCAAGCAAGTCATAAGGAGACTGCTAGACACACTATGCTCTCTGAGAGATTTGAATATATGATCAGAAGCTAAAGGTTAAATTCTGCTTCCTTCACAGATGTAAACAGTGCCTCTACTTTTATTTTTAATGTCTTATGAATAGGAGGGGGCAGAATAGGGGAAAAAAGTTGGTCTACATACACACTGAGCATGATCACTGCAAATATATTAGGATTACACTAAATGTCAATCATTAATGAATAGAAAAAAATATATTCAAAGAAGACATAAATATCAGGTTTCTAATAAACTAACTGTCCTTACTACATTTAAAATGAAATTGCAGTGAAGGCACTGATGCACCGAATTTAACAAATAACTAATTTTACAATTATTTAAATGCCCTCTTTTCATACTACTAGTTACCCCTTTCTGCCTTTTGGAGACAAACCTCCAGAACCATTCCCTGAAACAAGTCTCAGTGTTAATTTGATTTGGAAAACTTGATTCTTATCTGCCACTAGTACCTGAAGTGGGAGAGGTAAAACGAAGAAACTGGTATCAGTCTTAGCTCAAGAGAAGCCTCACTGAAAAGCAAGTACCACTCAGAGAATTGTAGCCTTTCCTGTACATATAGGCAACTTTCACTAAGTTGGGACTGTAACAATTTAGAAGCGGGTCTTCGTCTGGCAGAGACTCCTGCTCACTTCAGAGCTGCTGCGAATCCTTTGCCTTCAATCAAAGGCACAGTTTTGAGGAGAGATCCTGCTGCAGCTGGCTCTCAGCTTTTGCTGAGTTCTCAGCTCAGCAGGGGTGGGATAATCCTTCCACTGCAGGAGGCAACTTGATTTCTCCGTGTATAGTATAATCTCACATTTCCTGATTATCACCGAACTGGTTTTACAGTTGTGACAGTTCCCATCAGTGGCTCCTGACCTAAGATGTTATATTCAGATGCCTGCAGGGACAAAGATGGAACAATGGGCACAGACCTGAATGGCAGCATGATGTACCATTATGCATCCTCTGGTTTGGGTAATCTATTTTAATTTATGTGGAATTTTTAATAAGCAATGTTTTATTTTTTGGCATCACCAAGAGCTAGCTTTGCTTACTGCTACAGTAATTCTCTAAATAGAAATGATAGTTCTAATAAAATACTTTCTATATAACCCTTGATTTTAGTCCATGCTTTTTAGAAAGTGTCTAACTGCAAACACTGAAAAAAAAAAAGCCCTCGCTTCCTCTCAGGCCACATGGATAGGTTTTTTTCTGAAATTGTTTTTTTTCCCCCTACAGCTTTTATTCATCCTCCAGTGAATGTTTTCTGCTTACACAGCTAAACTACCAAATTACTTAGTAAATGCTCTGAGTTTTGGGAGATAGAACCTAAAAGCAGACAGGTGTTTACATGTAAGTTTAGTTGTAGTGTACATCTGTAAGTCTCAAATTCATATCTAAAATGGTATGTTCAGCAGCCACCAAACCCTGAGGCAGTTTCCCTGACACATTAATACATTATCTGTGGAATATACAGCGCAATGGATGGTGCTCTTACTTGCTCATTTTCCTCCTCCTACACCAGTGCTTGAAAGGAACAGGGAAGTCATAAAAGTAATTTCACAAAATTTGTACCTCCTAACACCAGAAAAACTTTCTACAAACCCTGTGTACTATGAAATTAGTGCACGATGATGAACAGCTGATCATCATTTTGAACAGAAGAGGATAAAGTATATTTTTGATGCAAGATTCTGAAACAGAAATTCAAGCGTGCAGTCCACACAACCTGTATCTTAAGCAGGTAGCCTTAACTTGCGTAAGACCTAAGAAAATTAACAGATCTAGCAGGATCAGTTCCCCCAATACATAGACAGAACTATTCACAGATGTATCATGTTAACACTGGGCATTTCACTTGTTATCTATGCAAAGCATTTTCTATATTTTGGGTAAGTATTCTCACTATTAGTACACAATTTGCAAATTTTTAGAAGTGCAAAAATAGCTGTAGAAAACATAGTTGTCTCCATCAATAAAAGAAAATGACAGTCACATGTTTTAGAGTTTTCTGATAGAACCCAAAGAATAAATTCTCATAGGAAAACTACCTAAAGAAAATTAAGATGAGCTAAAATAGAATAGATACTGTTTTTAAATATGATTTTCAAGGAAAATGGAACAAATCTGGAAGATATTACTTAGGGCATCAGTTAAATTCATGTATCTGCTTTGTCTATTTGAATACTTAACTACTGAAAAAATCCCTACCTTCAGGTAATTTTGCCATCATTTCAAAAATCTGATGCGTGTTCTTCCTACAGATGTCTACTGGATCATCCAAGAGCTCAGTGAGGGCAGAAATCACTCCATTTTGTATTAACCCTTGCCTACAAATAACATTGGAAGACAGATTTAACTAAGCATAGCAAAACTCGTAGATATTTGAGAGGTGCTTGATCTTAACTAAATGCTTTTATTTGCATTGCACCTATCTTGCCAAAACTTAGAAATTCTATTCTTACTTCTCACTGAAATGTCTTTATCACTTCCCATACTGTTCAGTAAACTCTGGATTGCACCTACCTGCCAACACTATGCATAGCCATTATATAGAAGATTTGTGTTGTTTTTTGTCGGACAGTACTGTCATGATGTAGCAGCAAAGTCTTCAGGTTATCCAAGAATCCTGTGAAACACAATAGTTCATTTTAACATTTCTTACCTTCAGCATCAACTTGAAATAGCAATCTTCATTTTTATCTCACAATTTGAAGTGCAAATAATCAGAATTTTCATCTTGTCCTGGCGGTAAAACTCTCATTGTCATATCTCAAGTAGGGAAGAAACTTCCAAGTTTCTAGGCCTGCTGCCAAAAATGCCTTGCTACAAACAAGCTGCTTACTTCTGCATCAAGATAAATCCTAATCTTGCAAATATTTATGAAGTGACATAACTCTAAAAATAAGTCAATGGAACTATCAAAGTTTTTAGAAAAGCGTGTGTTTGCATGATTGACACCTGCATTTTTTAAAAACTTTCTTTAGGTGTAGCATGGGCTCCGTAAAAACACACAGTGTTGCTTTCCACGTGCAGAAATAAATTTGGTGAACCATTAATGATTATGTGTATATACACATAGCACTGACCAAAAAAAAACCCCAAACAATCTCACATGGTTTCAGCAGCTACTGTTAATCAAACAATAACTTAATAGATTTTGAACATGATTATTGGTATCTTTTATGATGAAAAAAATGTGAAGGGAGTAAAAGGAGAATAAAGCAGTGGCAAACCAGAGGACTTCTTCAGTGTTACGTAATGAGCTATGTAGATACACAAGAGACAGCTAAAAATTGTGAGAAAAAGCTTATGTGTTTTTTTTTTTTCCCTCAAAAAATCCAAACTTAGGATTCTTCCAAGTGCTGGGATAAAAGCTTTTGAAAATAGTAGTGGCCAGATATATTCCTGATGAGTATGATAAATTTGGTTATATTGTCTTGTATCTTAATTTCTCATGAAATTCCAGGGTTTTTTTTGTTATAGACTCATTCTACAATCACTATGATACTTTCGAGGAATTCTGCCTAAAAAGCTCTGAGGTTTTTTCTCTCTGGTAAAGTTATATCTGGATGTGCCATGCTATCCACTGCTGAAGGAATGAACAGCAAAAGATAACTTCACGTATTTTGCAAATGAACTTGGTAATATTATTTTATTAATTATTAATTTAAAGGTTCATCAGAGTTTTTTTGCCTGTTACTGTTTTGGGATCTGACGTGAGTATTTTGAGCACCTCAAGCATGAAAAATATAGGAAGGGATCACTGTCCTATGTCATATGTATAGAAAATGTCTAATGAAGGGAAACAAAAAGGGAATTTGTATTTTTTTCCTGCTCTAGGATAACTAAAAGCTTTTTCTTTTGCCCTTTCTAAATAAAATCTATTTAGTAGTTTTACGATATTAGAAAGTCATAAATGCACTGCTCTTTTTTTTCTGAAAGGTTTGTGGATAACATGATGAAATTTAACTAAGTGGCAAGGGAGTGGTGGGTAGTGCGTTTCTAACTTTGGATTAATTAAGCTTTTTTTTTTTATTAGCCTATGTTAGGCATTAGCTAAAGTTCAGAACAAACAAAAGAAAAAAGATACTGTACTACTTTTGTATTTAGGGGTGGATAAAACCTATAGTGTGCCATTAATAAATCCTAAAGTGAGGATACTCTTAAAATAACTGTCATGTATATGGCATTATAACATTCTTTACTTTTCTAAAGTAAAACAAGTAGAGACTAAAATAGAAAAAATTTCATGGCCATTTTGTGTCATCAAAGATATCGCAAGAAAAAAAGTAGTGCATGAAAGTAAAAGTGGTTTTCCCCTCCCCCATGTCAAAGCTTATGACAACAGATCACTTACCTACTTCTATTGCCTGGTAGACATTTTCTGGGTCATGGAGCAAATCGCAGAGTGCCATCAATGCCCGCTGCTGAGTCAGCAGCTCAGGGGAGTGTAACTCCTCATTCAGTTTAGGAAGGGCTCTCTTTCCAAATGCAATAGGAGCTTTTGTGGGATCTATGTTAGGGGGGAGGTTGGCTGAGATACGAGCATGTGCCATCCCAAATTTTCCTGGGAAGGATTCTCCCTATCGCTAAAAATACTCCAAAATGACTGTACCTGGTGACTGGACAGATAATGTAACACAAAGACAACTACTGATTTTAAACAGCGCTCTGTGTCCAGAAGAGCTATTTTAGCACACATTCACTGTTAGGAAGCTATGAAATAAGAGGCTGGAATGGTTCATGGTCATCAGCATTAATGTCTGTTCATCAGCTGAATTGTCTTATTTGGTTTAATTCTGTACCGAACACTGTAAAAGGGGAAAAAAAAAAAAAAAAAAAAGAGAGAGAAAGCTTAAAATTGCAAGGTGAGGGAGGAAATGTTTTTCAAAGGGTTAAAGTGAAGTAGTCCAATGTCCCGAACCAGAGAAGGGGCTCAAAACAGTATTAAAGCAAAAACAAACAAAACGCCGTTTTTCAAAGAAGCATTCTTTTCAAAGGGGTCTACTTTGAATCCGCCCTCAGAATTCGTTAACGTTAGAAAGAATCGGTGGTGGCTGACCTCTCCTTCCCTCACTAAGGAAAACGGCTCAGTTGACAGAAGCATACAACCCCTCCAATACTGAAAACTGTTCAACAAGAAAAACAGCTGCAAAGTTAAAACAACTACTAAACAATCGCACTTCTCTCTTCAAAACAAAAGAAATATAGACTAAATACTCAAAGGCGCCCTGTCCCACCAATATGTCGCCGCCTCAGATCGTTCCCGCTCCACAGCTCCTGTCAGCTACGCTACCGCCTTTGGCGCCCGCGTGCTCCAGTTGCTACAGCAACCAGCTCTTTGCGTACGACCCGCTTCGTGAATAAAAACTACGCAGCCAAGCATCCTGAGTCCGGTCCTGCGTCAACAGCGTAAGTACCGCGTTTGACGGTGGCTGCTGTGAGAGAATAGCGTCAACGGCGTAGTTGGAGAATTGGAAGCCGGGGCCGCTGGTAGCGCGGGACCTGAAGCGCTGCGGCGGGGCGGCCCCTCAGGGCGGGAGGGGAGCGTGTGAGGAAATGGGGGAAATACCGCCATGGGATTGCAGCGTGGAGGCCGTTTTACCTCGCTTCTCTACTAAAGCATGTAGGGAGGCTCTCTTCTCACTGCCTGTTTTTAAAGTAATTCCAGTTGAACAAAATTGAAAAAAAATCAGATTGAACAAAATGGTGGTGGAGTTCATGGCAGAGAGTGAGCAGGCAAGTGCCTTGAGGTACAGGGGTTGAAGGGAGCTCAGTAGTTTTGGATTAGGTTTTCTTTTCTAGTCTTCTCCAGAATGTCACCAGAAACAGCTAGAATGTGTAGCAGGGGTCTCCTTTATCATTATGTAGTTTCACATTAACTCTATTCAAGACTTGGCCATCTTTTTCAGCATGATTCTGCTAAAAAGTACAGCGTTGTTCAGAGCGTGGTACACAGGGAGAATCATTATTGCAATGCTGCTGACACAACTTAAGGGTGCTCTGGATTGTCAGATGTGATCTGGCATGAGGAAAAAAACTAACGCTGAAAAGCTTGTGCTATAAAAGGTTAGTTCTCAGTGCAAAAAGTCATTGAGATGTTTTTCATTATGTTTGAGTAACAATTATAATAATCAAAGTTCTTAAAATGGATTTTACAAAGCCAAAGTCATTCAGATCAGCCGGATTAAAATACAACACGGGAATAGATTCTGGTTTGTTGATCTTCAAAATCCATAAAAGAAAAATCACTACTTTAAAAAGTATGTTCTGGAAAGGATTCATTTTTCTGCAACATTTTAGAACAGATTATTTAAAGTAGGGGTTATTTTCCTGAATTAGATTAGACTTCCACTAGCTATATATTTGTAAAATTTCACCCTATTTCAATAGGAAGAATGTGAACTTTTCTCAATGTAGAAAGGGCAGGAGAAGATCAGAGACTTCCCTTGTCCTTCAGTGTTAACTCTGCTCTTGTCCTTTTGTCGTGAGTTGTTCTGGCTTGTCCTTCACCATAGCTTGGAATACTGATTTTGGTTAGTGGTCATGATGTTAACTTATTATATTTACAGCTTCTGAATGCTTTCCTCAAATCCTTTGTCTATCCACAGAATATGCTGTTGCTACTGTTCCTGTAATGTTGATGTAAGGAGGGTTGTGATGCCATGGAACCACTGTATTCCCAGTCGTCCCCGGTGACTGAATCCCCTTCAGCTCTGTAAGAAGAGAAAATTTGGATCTCAGTACTGATCATTCTCAGTATTTTTAGCAGCTTTGTATTTCTTAAATCATTGATCTTTTTCCTCTAATGGTGTGGCTAATTTGTTGATTTTGTAAATTGGGATATGTTTATGTGTGTGAGACTTAGGTTAAATACACTAAATGTAAGTGAAGATGGTCTCTCAATTTTAAAATGTTTCTGTTTGGTTGCCTTGGTCCCTCCTGTGCTTTGGATTCACTGAGACTGTTGAATTGATTTTCTTTTGTAGCTTAGTTTGTGAAAGAGCTGTAGGAGACGAGTAGTGAGTCAGCCTGTGTACACATAATAGACTTTTACATGCTTAGGATGTGTTGAACTAGAACTAGAATAATATGGAGAAAGCAAGTTAAATGTTTGAAACTCTTACCAACTGGCAGATTTTTTTCTTTTTGTTTACAGAACTTTTATTTTAAGACATTAACATTGTCATAAAATCATTCAAACTTGCCAAAAGGGCAGGAGCACACCATAAAAAGGGTCTGGATCTCTCTAGTTTTATAGGGTCACAAGTAGCATGATAAGTAGAACTATGCATATGGTAATAAATGAATACTGTAATGTCACCTTCTTTGGTGAATAACCCATCAGCAGCAAATCTGGATTCTGTGGGGGAAAGTGGGTGTTTCAGTATGGTAGAGATCACATGATTGCCTAAAGCGATTTACAAGCAATTCCTCACGGAAGAGAATAAAACATTAAATCTAAGTAGTGAACTAGCAATTTTGTTGATCATTATTCTTAGTGTGGGGTTGTAAACCACAACTGTAGGGTTTTTGTTAAATACTTACTCATTGTTTAAAATTACTTGTCCACATTCATTTGCCCTGTAACATTTTTAGTCTGCTGCAGGAATGGGAGAGGCTTGTCTCCTGGATGTTAAGAGGTCCAAGCCTGTTCCAGCATTATCAAAATATGACTATTAGAATATGAGAGCTTTCTTTTGTCCTGAAATTTTGAAATTTAAATCCTAATGAAATAAATAGCAAAATCTTTTAGCATCCTAAATTACAGTCTAGCATACTAAATACTGTCTAAACTAATGAGTTCATTAACAATATTTAGGCAATACAAAAGAGCTGTGTGATTTCTTATTCCTTGTCTTTAGTGTTTGGTACATTAGAAAGCCAGATTACTAATGACTAGAAAGACATTTATATAATTCAGAATGTCTCATCAGTGGCATGCACATCCTGACTCTAAAGCTGAGATAAAATCAAGTTGAAATTCTGAAAAAAATCCCTCAGGAGTTTCTTTATAATTGCTGTTATGCTTAATATTAGCACTGTAACAGTTCCTCACGCCATTAGTTCCTTGTCTGCTGAGTTAATCCTGCTCTTTGTATCTATATATGCAACTAACTTGGAAGAAAACAGAACTGTCTTATACAAGATGAGGGGACCACTGGGTTTATTAAGGAGCAGCTTCTGACCGAAGGAATCTGTATGGCCACTAAAACTAGTTTGTTTTTCAACCTAGGGCCCTATGCATAATTAAATTACTCCAACTCCGCCCTCCTAGTCTGTAAGAGAAGGGGCGGAAGGGAACTGTGGCAAGCCTGTTGCTATGGCCACGCAGCAGCAGGCTGAGCTGTTTGTGTGGCTGGAATCCTGCTGCATCAGCTCCTGCTCGGTGAGTCTTTCCTCACACTTTGCTACATGATGAATGGTCTTATTAGAAACATTCTTTTGAATGCCAGTAAGAAATTGGTACCCTATTGAGGGTCCTCTCTCCCAATAACCCATGAGGTTTCATTGCATAACCAAATTGATATGTCTCAAGTGGGATATCTAAATGCACTGTGATTTCCATGTGAACGTTACTCTTTTTCCAAGTCAGGCTATCTGCTGATTTCATTCTTTCTGCGCTGATCTTGGATGAAAATTTGGTGTTGTGCCAAGAAATGTGGCAGCTTCATCTTTCCTTCTTTCTTCTTCTGACCTAATGAAATCTGGTACCCCCTAACATTTACTAATGTGCTTGGTGCAGAAGCATTTCAAACAATGATGAGCAAGATTTTCAAAATATACACTGCAAAATCCTTTGAGGGCTAAACTGCAAGCACTTATGTTGAATTAAGTGAACAATTCTCTGCCCTCCCACGGAATTAGAGTTGGTGCCTTCTTTCAGAAAGCCACTGTTTGCTACTGCAGCTATGCACACTGAAGTAGTCCCTTTTACAGGAGAAAAAGGTTTTCTTTAATGCAAATACAGTCAAAGAACTGCCACTTGTACTGAAAGGAAAAAAGGTGATGAGTCTGTAAGAACTGTTCATTTTTTTTCTAATCATGTTTTCCCTGTATTGAGGCAATTCCTGAATACTACGTTTCTCTTTACATACTTCCTGTCTAGTAGAATTTGATTGAATTTGGAGGATGAAGTCCAACCTAATGCATTTGGTTCCCCCAGTGAGCAGAGACAGAATAATCTCCCAGTTTCCTAAGGTAAGTATTCTTTATCCTTCTGGTCACAGTATATAGCACCTGCCACATTGAGCTATCTTTCCTTTGTGCTAATAGTATTTTAATTTAATGTACAGTTGCTGTCTTCTGCTAAAATTACAAATTGTTTAAGGATTTCTTTCAAAGGTGAATGTAACCCATGTTCCCATTCAATGCTGATATCTTTAATAACAATCCTTATTTGTCCTTTTAACCTTTACAGAAAGTTACTCTTTCCACAAAAGTGTTATCTTATAATATCTAATTATTTTGGCCAAATGTTAATAATTACATACTTAAAGAGTTCCTACACCAAGGGGAAATAAGAACCATAGCTGATATTAAATATGCAAGAAGT